ACAGTAGATATTTCATACTATATTCAAATTCGAGAGATATTCGGAGAACTTTTGAGCGCATATACTATATTACATAGTACAGTACTATCTTTTCCTATGTTTACAGTTCTTGATTTTCCACTGCTTTGTTGCTCTTAAATGTGATCTTGTAATGGAACAGAGCAATGTCACTGCACTTATCGATATGAAGCTTGAGAAGCACAAGAATTTACGAGAAGAATCTCGATTTTACTGGAGGGAAATTTTTGATGGGACTCTAAAATTTGATAGGAGGGAACATGAGGTATGAAGATTTCATATACTTATCTGTCTATCAGAATCATATTTGTTAAGACTTTTTATGGTAAGAAACCTCATTTTTCTGGAGGGGCGGTAACGTTTTGGAGTCTATAATCTGAATCCTATAATCGGTAATGGTCTAACAGGTTGAAGCACTCAAGAAGCTGACTAAAAAAGACCTGATTGAATTCTTTGACGAACACATAAAAGCTGGTGCCCCGCAGAAGAAGTCACTAAGCATCCAAGTATATGGCAGCTCTCATTCTGCCGAGTTCAAGGCACACCAAAATGAGCCGGTTGAACAACACGTTGTTCGGGTAGAAGATATATTCAGTTTCAGGCGATCTCACGAGCTCTACGGTTCATTCAAAGGAGGCCTTGGTTTTATGAAGCTGTAGGAGGTGAGAGTGCCTCAGCGGCTCAGATCAGCATTGTGTGAGTTAAAAAGCCTTTGTTTTGAACTCTTCATTTTATAGAAGTTCAGAAAATAATGGATTAGTGATGGTATACATTTGCCACAACTATTTGTTACCAACCAGGGCAATACATATTTGTACTATATTCCAAAAGCTTTCTTGTTTATGCACCAATGCCTATGAATGTGGATTATCATACTCCTTTTTCTTTTCCTTCTACCCAAAAATATATATACCCTAATTGATGCGGATTAGAGATCGGTTAATATTTGCTTTTAAGACTCCACTGGCTAGCACCGTATGAGAAATCGAAGTTTTTGGATTTCTGGGAGAAATCAAAGTTTTTGAATTTCGAGGAGTATGGACGCAAGGTTGAAATTTAAAAAGAATTGATGAGGGATGTTGTGCAATTGATTTGAACAAAAGAATGTTTGTTAGAATCAAATATTGATTTAAAATTTTTTAACGTGCCCAAGTATATACTTTTAGTTTTACACTTAAATATATATATTTTTTCACATCTCTCTATGTCTCTTTCACTCCTTTAGTAACATGTAGATAATTATTTTTTATTCAGTGTGACGTCACTATATACATCAGCTCATGATCCCGGATCCCCTTTTAAATACGGAGCATTAACTTTACAGGCTATATTTATTTTCTGAGGTTGTTCCACATAGAAAGAAATATAAAAAAAAATACAGGAAAATAAATATATTTTAATTAGGAATGCTGGACTCCATAAACACAAGTCATAAACTAAAATATGTCGTGGGTTTCGTGTCAGCAAAAGCAGACAAGTCACAAGTATAGTTGTGTTAATGAGCTTTGATCGAGATTGAGATTTATAAATACAAAATATCAATATAATTAGGAAAAATAATATTTTTTGCTCATAATTATAAAGGAATAGCATTTTTCGTTCATCTTTTTATCTTTGGAATAAGGGTCACATAGGCCATCGAACTGCACTCAATAACGCAATTAGGCCACCGAACTTTAAAAAGCTACAATTGGGTCCCTGAACTAACGAATTCTACAATTGGGTCCCTGAACTAACGAATTCTATTCAATTAGTCTAATTTGTAGGTTTCCAAGTTGTTAGCAGGTTATCCCTTTTCAAAAAAAATTTTAATTATTATTTAAAATAATTATTTAATATTAATAATTAAAAAAAAAAAAAAAACAGATCGACATGCCGGAGACGAAGAAGGTTTCTTCGTCTCCGACCATGGAGACGGAGACGAAGAAACCTTCTTCGTCTCTGGCTGGAGACGAAGATATTCTTCGTCTCCATGGCCGGAGACGAAGAGACTCTTCGTCTCCGGCCATGGAGACGAAGAGTTTCTTCGTCTCCGGCCACGGAGACGGAGTTAACTTCTTCGTCTCTGGCCGGAGACGAAGGAAGCCGGAGACAAAGGAACCTTCTTCGTCTCCGGCCAGAGACGAAGAAATTAACTCCGTCTCCATGGCCGGAGACGAAGAAGGTTTCTTCGTCTCCGGCAAAGACGGTATCTTTTTTTTTTTAATTTTAATTTTAATTTTAAATAATTATTTTAAATAATAAATTTTTTTAAAATATTATAAATTAGGGGTGACCTGCTAACAACCTCCAAAACTTACAAATTGGACTAATTGAATAGAATTAGTTAGTTCAGGGAGCTAATTGTTGTTTTTTAAAGTTCGATGGCCTAATTGCATTATTAGGTGCAGTTCGATGGCCTATTTGACCCTTATTCCTTTATCTTTTACTCCGTAATTGTTTGTAAGGTATAGGCCATGTTTGGTAAAAGGTTGTTAGCTGATAGCTGTTAGTTATTAGCTGATTGTGTTAATTAGAGGGTATAAATAGTTGATAACATTAGCTGATTGTAGAAAAGTGTTTGGTAAATTAGTTGTTAGCTGTTAGCTGTTTGATATAATTTCTTTTCTCAAAAAGCTAATTGAAAAAGTTGCTTGGAGTAGCTTTTTCAATTTTAGCCTTTTGGAGTTGTAAAAAGCTAATTAACTAAATATTTATATTGATATTTTAACTAAATCAAATAATTAATAGTGGTCAAATAAGCCAAAATTGGCCTATAGGCCAACTTTTTACCAAACAGGGCCATAAACTTTTTCCATCTCCAACTCTGGTTATGATTGGGTTAAAAACAATTTGTAGCCTCAGAGTTTTTTCTCATTTTGGTCCCTTGACTATCGCTCATTCTCAATTTTGCATTTCGACTTTTAATTGCACCCAATGTGGTCCCTTGACTTTAAAAAATTACCCCAATTTGGTCCTCCGTTACCTTTTCCATCAACCAGGCGTTAAGTTGGGGGGTATTTGGACCATTCACCTGTTGTGCGCCTAAACCAACTATTGTTCGTCCCTCCATCGTGTTCTTATTGTTTTACGTTCAGAAAACAAACCCCAAATTAAAAATCAGAAGTCCAAATGCAAACCGAAAAATCCCCAGCTTATATGATAAACAACCTCTACAAATGTTTAGCCTCTCTAACTATTTCTTGATAGAAAAAGACACACCACCTATTCAAATCAAATTGCCGCAATTCAAATCAAATTGTCGCAATTCAAATCAAAGGCTAAAAGCCTTCCATTCTTCAACTGTAAATTTAGTATTTTGTAAATAAAATGAAATTAGGAAGCTAAGAGTTAGGGAGAAAACATAGATTGGCGGAAAAGTGACAGAAAGTCTCACCTCTGATCTTTGGGCCTTTGCGGGTTAGAAAATCCGAAGGGAAACGGAATGCTATTCCTCTTGAAGATTAGCGAGCAGAGTAGCAGACGCCAGACAATGAAGACTAAGGCCGGTCGCCGGTGGAGCTGAGTGGAGATTGGATAATCGGCGGTGGAGAGACAGACATACGGCAGAGTTGCAGGGTTGAAAGGCGAAAGATTATATATTAACTAGACCCAAAGTAGCTCTCATCGTCTCTCAAATTCTCGGTGTTGCAAAAAAGCACACGCTCCCCCACCACCGCCGCAATCTCTTCAAGAATCGGAGATTTCACCCCATCTCCTCCTCCCTTCACCTCCTCACAAAATGAAAAAACCCCCAGAAATTCCAGCACTCTACAGCGACAGCGGCGGTCCATCAACCTGTTTCACAATTGGAAACGGCGAAATCGAGTGGAACGATTGCATGTCATCAAACCGCCGCAATCCCTTCAAGAATCAGAGATTTATCCCCATTTCCTCCTCCCTAGCTTCACCTCATCACAAACCGAAAAATCGGCAGAAATTCCGGCACTCTACGGCGGCGGCGGCCCATTGACCTGTTTCGCAACTGGAAACGGCGAAATCGAGTGAAACATATGGAAGCAAGACGAGGAACTCATTGTTGTTGTTATTGTGCAGAGAACTCAGAGAGAGACAATAAACAAATTGTTTGATTTGGGGTTAATTCGTGACCGGAAGACAAAGGAACGAAGGACGATGAAGACTGGAGATCGAGCAGTTGTAATTTCTTTGGAAGGGCGTGAATAGTCCAAAATACCCCCGAACTTAACGCCTGGTTGATGGAAAAGGTAACGGAGGACCAAATTGGGGTAATTTTTTAAAGTCAAGGGACCACATTGGGTGCAATTAAAAGTCGAAATGCAAAATTGAGAATGAGCGATAGTCAAGGGACCAAAATGGGAAAAAACTCTGTAGCCTCACAATGGAATAACTCTCATATCAAAATATCACAAATTTAATTATTGTCATTTACCAATATCTTTTTGATCAAGTCTATCACACATGGTATTCCTAATGTGATTCACCTTTATAGGCATTATTACACAAGAGTCGGACCCAAGTTTACTCCATTACACAGGATCAAAATTTATTCAAAAATAAAGTTAAGTATCATTAATTGAATTAGATACAAAATAAAATGTCACTCTGTATAATTTAGGAATAACTTATAGTACATATACTCCAAATTTTCCTATTTTTACTAGTACACCCAATTCTCCTCATTTTTACTCCTTCATAAGAACTGATAAATTATATTTTTCATGTAAATTCCAATAAAAATATTCACGTCAAGATTTTAAATGTAAAAATAAATATTGAGAATAAATAAATAAAGTCCACGTGCTATTTACTTTAAATGTAAAAATAAATATTGAGAATAAATAAATAAAGTCCACGTGCTATTTACTTTAAAATAAAATAAGAGGGGCACTTTTATCTAAATTTATTTTATAAAAAGTATACTTGTCGTGTAGCGTCTGGTGCGACCGTCCACGTGGAACTCTGGGGGCAAAGCTAATCAAATGAATTTCTTTTTATTTAAAAATTCTTTCGTGCGTCGACTTATGAAGAAACTGATATGACTTTTACTTTCCAAATTCCAAATTCTGAATCATTCTTCACTCAATCTTTTCCCCATTGCTGAACAAGGTAAGCTCCTGCTTCTACTTTTTGCTATCTACACAGTACACAGACTCATGTATCTAATATTTGTTGCTATATTGTTGTTTGGAAGGTGAGAAAAATGGCGTTGGGGAGCATGGGAGAGCCGGTTGAGATAGTGAAAGCTCGTTCTGACAAGAAGGAGTACAGAAGAATTGTGCTCGACAACTCTCTTGAAGTTCTCCTCATTAGCGATCCTGAAACTGATAAGGTTTCCGCTGCAGTTTATATCCTGTCTGAATGTGTTTGATTGCAAATTCTTCCCTGCAAAAAAAAAAAAAAAAAAAACTGTGATCTTAAACTTTTGAAGTTCCTATCGTTCTGAAATGCGCATATGTATTTATTCTGAAACAAAGTTTCTATTTAAATATGTATGGTATAAACTGCTGTAGTATTAATTAATTAATTAATTATTTATTTTCCTTTTTGAGCTCAATCAGTGTGCTGCTTCAATGAATGTGTCTGTGGGGTTTTTTAGTGACCCCAAGGATCTTGAAGGCCTTGCCCATTTTCTTGGTGAGTATTATTTTATTTTCTTAATTTCCTTGGTGATGAAGAAACTTCTGGTTGCCTTTGAGTATGAAGGATGAAGAAATGTGAATCTTCCTCAAGTTCACCCTAGCACAGTGTGTAATAAAGAGAGGGGAACTATTTGTTGAGTGAAGCTTTGCACATTCTAAATAATGAAAAATGAAATATGTGTGATTGTAGAACATATGCTCTTTTTTGCAAGCGAGAAGTATCCCTTGGAGAATAGTTACTCGAACTTCATTTCAGAGGTATTTGCCTTTAGTTCTTGGTAATGATGGTTTATTCTTTTCAAGTTGACTTCTGATAATTATGTCATTTTCTGTTCTTTGTTTAGGGTGTATAACTGCATATATGTTCTCTAAACCTAATTATTTTATGTCCTTTCCGTTTCTCGGCTATTACATACTGTTTTTCTTCACCCACCTACATCGTGCCTTCTTACTTCTACTAATTGGTATATTTTGAGTTTTTAAAATTTCTTGTTAAAATGATATGTCTCCATATTAACTGTAGTGCTTTTTTTTTTTTCTTTTTTTTTTTTTTTTTTTTTTTTTTAATTGCCATGTGGAGGGCTATTTCCTTCTCTACCTTCTGATTTTTTTCTTTGGTTTGTATCTTGTGCTTCAGAATGGAGGTTCAACAAATGCTTTTACATCTTCTGACCACACCAACTTTTACTTTGATGTTAACGTTGATGGTTTTGAAGAGGCTTTAGATAGGTAATAAGATTTTAAGGCTATTCTAGGTTCTCATACTTTCTTGCAAAGTTTCCTAATTATCTTAGTTTTGGCTGTCTAGATTTGCACAGATTTTCATCAAACCATTGATGTCGGCAGATGCTACCTCGAGGGAAATAAAAGCTGTTGATTCGGGTTAGCAGAGTATTACTCTTTGATGGCTTGCAAGCAATCTAGTAAAATTTTATAATTTCTGATTGTTACCTGTCTCTCTTTATTTGCTCCCTGGGGGAACTAACTTATTTGTACAGAAAATCAAAACAACTTATTATCTGATGTTCACAGAATCTATCAGGTATCTGGACTTACCACGTGCTTTAATCTTTTTAAAATTTAAAATCTCACTGTAGCTTCTAACTTATTAAAAGAGATTGGAGGTACCTAAGAATATTGTATCCACTTTCAAGTGAAGGATACCTCAAGGTTGATCTTATGCTTTTAAAAAAACCTCGTTCTATACTCTTGCTTGAGGATTGATGTTTAGTTGTTTGGGTGATTTGTTCTTTCAAAAATAGGAAAAGTAAATACCATAAACAAAAAGCTACTTCACCTCATATATTACTTTTTATGCAGCTTGATAAACATTTGAGTTCAACAGACCATCCATTCCACAAGTTTGGAACAGGTTTGTTTTGGCATGCAATTTAAGCTATTTATTCTGTATCAGTATAACAGCCTTATTATTTCGTGTTTGCAATTTCTATCTGTTAAAATTATAATCATTCAACTCTTGTTAGGGAGCTGGGATACTTTGGAAGTGCGGCCAAAGGAAAGAGGGATAGATACAAGAGAGGAGCTTCTTAAATTCTACAAAGAAAATTATTCAGCCAACTTGATGCATCTGGTTGTTTATGCAAAAGGTAACTGGGTCGTGCTTTCATTTTTAAATATCTAGTTGCCTGTTGCCTAAACATCAATCATATTGTTCTTTTGTTGTGGATATCTCAGATAGCCTTGATAAAACCCAAAGCCTGGTACAGGATGTATTCCAGAAAATCGAAAATACTAATAAAAGTTACCCTTACGTTCCTGGTGAGCCTTGCACAGCAGAGCACCTACAGGTACTCAAATTGTAACAAGAAGTGGGGATTTATTTGTGTGCTGTGTTTTATAAGATATAATTTCTTTTATCATTGTTTCTTTTCTTTTTCCTCTCCCTTTTTGTGTTTTCACATAGCATGTTTTGAATTTTAAAAATTTTCATTGCATGTTTTACTTTACTTTCCTTTCCTTCTCTATATTTTGTTTTTGCTTTTTTTTTTTTTTTTTTTTTTTTTTTCCCCCCTTACTCAGATTCTTGTGAAAGCGGTCCCAATAAAACAAGGTCACAAGTTAAGTATTAACTGGCCAGTTACTCCCGGGCTCCTTTACTACAAGGAAGGACCTTTGAGTTATTTAAGTCACTTGATTGCCCATGAAGGAGAAGGTTCCTTGTTTTACTGTTTGAAGAAGTTAGGTGGGTTCTCATTTCTCAACTTAGTTTAAAATGTTCATAATTTCATATATATCATTTTCACTACTTTCTATCTTTATATAGTATAATGCTTCTAGCCCCATGGGATCTAAGGGCCAGAAAACTGAATCAAATGTGAGATTAAAGGACTACCGGCCCTATCCATCCTAATCTCTTCTTAGTCATCCTAATCAAACTATCCTTGCAGTGCATAGTTTTCAAGGGTTCTAGATGTGGCTTAAATTCCAACAATCATGAGTTGCCTGAGGCTAATTCATATGTGTATACAACTATAACATTTGAATACAATTGCCACCTATATATAGCTATTTATATAATGACCAAGCTTAGACAAATTTGTAGGCCATCTTTAGCTAAGAGGGTAGTTTATTGGCCTGAAATTTAGACTTCATCGTATTCTAAGCTATTTTATGATAAACGAATCATGCTAAGTACATAGTTAAAAGTCAAGTTTGCGATGAAAGCAACATTATTATATAACATGATATTCGCATAGATCAGATAAATAACATCTGCTCAGTTATAACTTATAAGTTATAATAGTCCTTTTTCCTCTTGTTTCTATGTGGTTTATGGCTTAAGTTGTAATCCTAATTCTTGTGTCATTAAATGCGTCTTGTAATTATATTGGTTTTATATTTTATTTACTCGTTTAAAAAAATAATTCTTGCAGGTTGGGCAACAGGCTTATGGGCTTCTGAATCAGGAATAAGTCGCCTATTCTCTTTCTTTGAAGTATATATTAAATTGACTGATGTTGGTAATGGTTAGTGTCCTTTTCATTTTCCTCAGATTTGGATGAAAAGGTTGAATAAAATTTTCTTCAATTCTAGACTTTCTCTGTTCATGAACGGTTTAGATATTTTAAAGTTTTAGTTAAATTGGGCATATCATTGTCTATGGAAGTTTTTACTTTTGGTCACCATCTATCATTCTCTATGAATGTCATTGCAGACCATGTTCAGGAAATTGTGGGACTGCTTTTCAAATATATTAGCCTTCTTCACGAAAAGGGTGCCTGCAAGTGGATATTTGAGGAGGTACATAATAGTCCCCTTTTTAATTTTCAATAATAATGACCAGACATGCAAGGTTTTATTTGTTTAATTAATTTATGAATTCTGAAGTATGAACTAAACATACGAGTTACAACACACATGGATGGAATTGCATAAATGCATACAATAAAAAAAGTATATAACTAATTTCATAAAGCCATGATAGAGTATTGAAATTTTACTCTTTAGATAAAACATAGAATTGCATGTGTCAACTGTCTCTTTTATTTGGTGGACTAACAAAAGTGCTTCTTTCAGATGAACAACTTATTAATGTACAATAACATTTATAAACCGACAAAATCAAAACCTGAGTTTGTTGCATATCTTTACCCATAATATATAATATCATAGAAGCAAAAGGCTTATGTCTTCTGTTGCAGGTATCTTAAAAGTCAAGCTTGATTAACATTTTGCTGTGTGCCCATAATCTCTAATCTACTCAATTTTATGTCAATGGATGAAAAGTTTTCTAAAGCATGCATTTTTAAAAAATTTCTTTTTAGTTTTGTAGTTCTAATAACTTGTTAGATGTGACAACCTGAATAGAATGTATAGATAGCTATAGCTTTCTGTTTCAAACTTTCAATACTATCTATGCAGAAATGATTGCGTATTCTATTAGAAACTTTACAGCATTTTGCACGTATTTTGTCAAATTTATTGATGTTTTAACCATTAGCTATTTTCAATAATGGTTTATGATGCTCAGCTCTCGGCTATGAGTGAAACTGATTTCCATTATCAAGACAATAGTCAACCCATTGATTATGTGGTTCATATTGCATCAAACATGCAGGTATAAAAATCTTTGAGCAACACGATTTATTCCTAGTTTCTTATCCTTTAAGATGCTCTTAATTCTTAAATTTGGGTACTAGTATTCAAGTTGTACTGATACTGTCTTTTTTATTTTATAGGATTACCCTCCAAAAGATTGGTTGGTAGAATCATCTTTACTTTTGAAGTTCAACCCAAAAATTATTGAAACAGTACTCAATGAACTCACTCCGTATAATGTCAGGTAAGTTTAGTGACTCTGCACATCGTTTACTTGCTTGTAAAATTTTGTGCTCTTGCAGATCTTTTATTATTGGTGATTTGGTGATCAGAAATATAGTTATTCGCATATTTCAGTAAAAACTTAAATTGATAATTAGATTGGACATTTATATTTATATATTATATGGTTAACAATTAGAGCTGGCTTTAGGCAAGGACAAGTTAGGCCCTTGCCCAGGGCCTATGCTTGGTGGAGGCCCACCTCAAGCCCATATATAATATAATATTCTGTTAACTAAAATAAAGGCCCTGTTTGGTAAGATATTAGCCGATCAGTCAATTTTGGCTTATTTGACAATTATTAATTGTTTGATTTGGTTAAAAAATCAACTCCAAAATGCTAAAATTCAAAAAGCTGCTCAAAACAGCCTTTTTAATTAGCTTTTTGAGAAAAAATTTATACCAAACAGCTAACAACTAACAACCAATTTACCAAACACCTTCCTACAATCAACTAATATTATCATCTAGTTATACCTTCTAATCAACACAATCAGCTAACAGCCATTTACCAAACAGGGCCAAAATAGTTTGGTGGGTAGATTGCATTGTTATTAACTTAATTATTAAAGGTCTAGGATTTGAATCTCCCAAGTTACGCTTTTAATAAATTTCATCTATTTAGGAAAATGTTTCTTTTCCCGTATTTTTTTTTTACCTCTTTCACCTCCTAGAAAAATGTTGAATAGTCAAAGCATTTTTCATTGGTGGAAAGAATGATTTAAATTTTTCCAAATCAGCGATGAGATTTAGTGAAAAGTAGAGGAATGCCTAACATTACTCATCTATTTATAGCTGTGTAATTTAATACTTATATTGTTAAACAATAAACTCAACTGTATATTTCTATATGTTATGTGTGTCAATGTACAAGGAAGTATAGAGCTATTTATATTAGACAAGAACTAATCCTAGCCATAGATTTCAAATACCTAAAACTAAGGGAGATCCTCTCAACTAACACCATATTTCTCTAACACTCCCCCTCAAGTTGGAGCATCCAACTTGTTACATATGTTTCACATGAACCATAGGACTTCACACCTAGACTCATAAGCCCAAGTCTTGAACCACTCGAACAACCTTCGAACCACGCTGTGCCAAACCAGTCCACAATGCACCTTGTCGCATCAACAATGCTTCTACGGAGCCAACAAAAGCTAGGCCAATCACCACAGCGTCGCACCTGCCTCTCACACCCCACACCCTTATCACCGCTGCCTAACACCACAGTGTACCTGCCTCTCACTCCACAAACCCTTAGCACTGCTAGACCACAACGCACCTGTCCCTCTTACCATGCACCCTTATCAAGGCTGCCTAACACTACAACGTTTCCCTGGTGCATGCACGTAAACTGATTCACCCTGAATCATTCTTCAGCCGTCGGCCTCCCCCGCAGCATATGCCAGGTCCACCCCACTCCTGGCACCTGTGCTACCCACTCCTGCAGCACCCCTGTTTACGCACACTGAACAAGCTGCACTTGACTCAACTCAGACCCTAGAATTGCTCCCATACCAAATTAATTTAGAGCGACAAACTATGATAAACAAAATACAAAGGTCAAGACTTATTAATACGAACACGATAAACAAAAGAAAACTACGGCAAACTACTGCCTAATTATTTCTCAGCTTCGTGGACCTCAGACCACCCAGCTTCGTGGACTTCCCCTACCATCTCTCTTGGTTGTCTCTCTTTTTCGGCTGACACCAGACTGGTGAACAAACAAATCCTCGCTGCCGTCATCGGGGGTTATGAACCCAAACCCCTCACTGAACCACTCGACGCAGCCCTCCATCCTCTGCTCACTCTCCTCAGCCATAATAAACAAAACAGACCAACCCGAAAACGCAGCAGTCCAAAAATGTAGCAGTCCACAACGCAGCAGTCCAACACGTAGCAGTCCAAAACGCAGTAGCCCTTTGCAACACCGAAGTACACCACCACTGCAGACGCGTTGGGTGTTCAGAGACGAGCCCAACGGTACCGGCCGCGACCGGTGAAGACGCCGGAGAACTGCCCACGCACCGGCGCGTGGCGTCAGAACCCTAGGACTGCGCCGGCACGTGGCGGCGCGTGAGGACTCCGGTGGCCGCTCCGCCTCTCCCGTCGGCGTCGCCTCCTCTTTTTTACCAACACCCACTACCCAGTCACCTCAATCTCGCTCTGATACCATGTTAAACAATAAACTCAACTGTATATTTCTATATGTTCTGTGTGTCAATGTACAAGGAAGTATAGAGCTATTTATATTAGACAAGAACTAATCCTAACCATAGGTTTCAAATACCTAAAACTAAGGCTAAGAGAGATCCTCTCAACTAACACCATATTTCTCTAACATTTTTATAAAATGTGTTATTTTCTGAGCTCTTATAATGAAAAAAAAAAAAAAAAAAAAGAAGATAATTTACTTTTTTATAAATATCTTAGTCAATATAATCTAGAAGTGTCTATTATATGTCATCGTATTCAAATTACTTTAGTAAAACTTGAAATTGATCTAGCTAGAAAAGTATCTAGTCCTTATACCCTAAAAATTGTTAGAATTAAAGAGAAAAAAAAATAACATTGTTATACCAGACCAATAACTATGTTCATGTGCTTGTGACCAACTTTTTTTTTGAGTAATGACTCTATTACAATCTAGTATCTGTTCATAAACTATTTTCTCAACTTACTAAAGCACAAAGAGTCAATACTACTCCCACTGGGAATTGAACTCATGACCTCCCAATGACCTTGTGACCAACTTTAATATTTTTAATATTTAAAAAATTAAATAATAAAAAGGTTATCCACTATGGCTGTCTACTTTTTTTTTTCTCCCGTCTTTTATGATATTTTAATTTTAATTTTTAAAATATTGAAAATAATGAGGTTGACATAGCATTTGCCACTCAATATAAAATATAAAATGAGACATGGAAGTGCATCAAAGGCACATAGATCAAACAGGATGAGTTGAATTTTTTTCATGGAAAAATCTTTCCAACAGGATATTTTGGATATCACCAAAATTTGAGGGACATACGAACTGCACTGAGCCTTGGTATGGTACTGCATATTCTACTGAGAAAATAACTGGTTCCACTATCGAGGTTCGTAGCTTGCTGTCTAATACAAGTTCAAAGTAAAAGATGTAAGTGTATGGTTCATTTAGTGTATTTTGATACTCTACAGCAATGGATGAAAAATGCTCCTCTTGAAGATTTACATCTTCCTGTTCCCAATTTGTTCATTCCTGATAATCTTTCTCTTAAGACTATCCCAGACAAGGTATTAGTTGTATACTCGTTTTATACTTAAACCTAACATTGTTATTACTTGATATTATTTTAATTTCTGATATTTGACTATGCTAACAGATGAGCACTCCAATTCTATTGAGAAAATCTCCCCATTCGAGATTATGGTACAAGCCAGATACCTTATTTTCTACACCAAAAGGATATATTATATTAGACTTCAGATGTCCCAACTGTAGAATTTCTCCAGAATCAACTGTTCTTACCGGCCTTTTTGTACGCCTGGTGATGGATCACCTAAATGAATATGGCAAGTATCAAAGGGCAAACATGTTATTGTGATAAGCTTGGCTTTTTTTTTTAATGGTTGAAATGATGACTTTATGTGATGGAAAAAGTAATACTCCGTATATAATTTTAGAGTAATAGGTTCATTACATTCTGACTTTATGAAATGTGTAAAGTGTAAACACTTGTATGCTAATAGAGTAATAGGTTCATTATATTCTGTGTTTTGCAGCCTACTATGCGGATATTGCTGGTCTTGGTTACTCGATAAGTAGCCACTTTAACGGTTTCAAGGTATTCACATGATAATCCCTTATTTTCAACAATCAATTTACATTGGAAGAGTTATTTAATATAGAATAGACACATTTGTAAATGTTGTTCACATGATCTAGTTTAAGATGATATGTCGCAATGCTGCAATAGTATGCTTGTATGCCTATAACCAAAGTTGTACTTATATATAGCTAGGGATGCATTCAAATGAAATTTCAAGCATTTTTCATTCATAGAAGTTTTCGACAGAATTATGTTCTCTTGGAGTATGAATAATGTATGATAAGAGTCAAATGTGTTAACGCTTCCTCCTTATTTAATTATTGAACAGTTTCTCAGACTAGTCATGGTGCTAAATGACCTTTGTTCGTATAAATGCAACTTAGCCATGCAACTATATACTTCATGAATGGAAAGACATTTAGAAATAAAACTTATACCTTCCTTTCCTTCAGGTGCGTGTTTATGGGTACAGTCAAAAGATGACAATCTTGCTTGAGAAAGTTATTGATGAACTTCTGAACTTTGAAGTTAAACCAGACAGATTCTCTGTTATAAAGGTAACATCAAATTGTCGGCATTGCTTTTTACCAATATATATATATATATATATATATAGAATCAGGATCAAATGAGAACTAGGCTTCCCGTGAGAAGTGTGGACTAATATGATCCTCCATCTAGGATGATCAATGGCTAGAAATTAAGGGAAAAAGAGGGCGGGTGAAAGTTTGTAATATTTATGAAACTAACCCTGCCATATTTTTCCTTATTTTTCTTTATTTTCCAAACCGTTAGATCTACTAGATCGATAGCTAACATTTGTCCACACTTCTCACGGGAAGCCTTGTTCTCATGCGAGTCATCAATGCTGTGTGGGAATCAGGGCAAAGAATAACAAAAAAGTTCAGATGGGATTTACAGTAAAACCACCACATAAAATCAGTAAATAAATAAAAGCTGAATAAGAAAGGCAGGTTGAACGAAAGAAAGGGTGGAGACAGAAACCGAGGAACTGCAGAATGATACAGTTTGTTTTTCTGTAATTTTTTACCTTCAGGAATTGATAACCAAAAAATACAAAAACGTCAAGTGCCAACAGCCATATCAGCAAGCAATGTACTACTGCTCGTTGGCACTACAAGAGCAAAGTTGGTCCTGGGAAGATGTTCTCGAAGTCCTTCCTTCTCTTGATGTTGATAGTCTTGCTAGATTTTACCCTTTGCTGCTATCAAGAACTTTTTTGGAATGCTATGTAGCAGGTTCTTCCATTACTATGAACTTTTCTACGGTGCTTTTAAGCTTTTGGCTACATTGGTTTACTCCTTCATCATATCCCTTTCAGGAAACATCGAATCAAATGAAGCAGAGTCTATGGTCCAACACATTGAAGATTTATTTTACAAGGGTCCCCATCCTATCTCCCGGGCTTTATTTGCATCCGAGGATTTGACAACTAGAATCATTGAGCTTGGACAGGGCATACAATATTTGTATGCTGCAGAGGGACTAAATCCAAGTGATGAAAATTCTGCCTTCCTCCAATATATTCAGGTATATTTACTAAGTTAATCGGGGAAATAAATATAGACTGTCAAAACCGAATATATAAGTTCTCTTATTAGTATTTCACTTATACAAACATGCACAATGTATACGCTATACAGGCTTCTACAGTAGTATTGTGCTTTAAGTTACTACACTCAATATGATATAACTGTGCTATAGTGACTGATGAACTATTACTACAGATTGGCCTGGGTCCAGATCTCGCCAACCTCTCTGTCAAGAGGAAAATAATGCTTTGATTTGAGAATTTCCTTGCAGTATTACTGTATAGCTATTTAGCTATTACTTTCAAAAACTTGAATACTTTTAACATTAACAATGTAAAGCCCGAAAATTCTTTGTTGGCGAGTATCCCAAAGGTTATAATACAAAAATCTTATTTAAAATGTAGGTCGGTCTTGATGATTATGAGCTGTATGTGAGACTCCTACTTTTTGAAACGATAGCAGACCAACCAGCCTTTGACCAACTGAGATCTGTTGAACAGCTTGGTTACATTACTTCACTTTCTCGGATGTATGTGGACACTGTTCTTGTTTTTTCTCCCTGGACCGTTAAACCTTTCCCATTCAGTGAAATTCGTTGTATATCTGTCAGAAATTTCATCCACTTAATTCAGATGAAGCTAAACTTCCTTTACTGTAGGTATGATTCTGGTGTTCGTGGTTTGCAATTTGTTGTTCAATCATCAATCAAGGTATTTGTCATTTTACCATTTCCTCTAGTTTAGTAAATTTTCCTACATCTATTTACAAAGTTCAAACCAAGACCTTATTTATGGAGAACCGAACTCCTACTTAGACATTAGGTCGTTGATCAAAGAACAATTTGTAACATTTCTTTTATTCACCTACCTTCAACATGACAACATGACAAATACTTGGGGTATATTGTAATGAGATGTGATGGCATTGGCAGGACCCTAAATATGTGGAGTCCCGAGTTCGGGCATTTCTTGACATGTTCAAAAGCAAGCTGTCTGAGATGTCTGATGAGGAATTTAAGGTCAGCTTACTGATCCTCTCTAGACTCTAGTGTAGCTTGATACTTTATTCCAATGGTTATAGTCATCAAAGGAATACACATACACACACAGAGACACAACAGGAGGGAGAAGTCCGGAAAGAGCACTAGATGGTAGTTCTCAGTAACAAAAGAAAACACAAGAAATAGGGCAATAATCAAGCCAATAGATTGATGCACTAATACAACAGTTCTCGTTCTTCAGAATAAAACTATGTGCTGGCTAACATTTGATGTAATTGTCTATGATGCAGAAAAAAGTCAATGCACTTATTGATGTTAAGCTTGAGAAGTTTAAGAATATATGGGAGGAAACTGATTTTTTCTGGTGGGAAATTTCCAATGGTACTTACAAATTTGATAGAGTAACAAAGGAGGTACAATTCTATATTCTTATTGGCATGCAGAACTTTCTTCCTTGACTACTGATAGTTAAAATTTTCTCTTCTCTTAGATCCTGGTAACCAAAAACTCAAACTTGATGTCTATACATGATTATTGATTCCTAACTGTGAGATGTTGTCATCTACTTTTTGTGAGAATAGGTTGCGGCGCTAAAGCAACTGACGAAAATAGACTTGATCAAGTTCTTTGACGAGTATGTTAGTATCAGTTCCCCTAAGAGGAAGGCATTAAGCGTGCGAGTCTATGGAAGCTCACACTCCTCGGAGTATAAATCAGAGAAAGAGGAGCCAGCTGAACCTGATTTTGTTAAGATCGAGGATATTTTCAGTTTCAGGAGATCTCGCCCTGTCTATCCTTCGTTCAAAGGGAACTTTGAGAACAAGAACTTCTAAGAGATAGCGCTCCAACTTGTTAATCCACAGTACAGGGAAAAGGAAGTGTACCAACCATATTGCCCATAGCATATTCATACCAGATAGATTCACCATTACACAACTATATGTTAAAATCTTAATACTTGAAGTACTTTCTAGTTTCTAGACCTTGTTCTTATACCAGAAGAGAATACTAATTGATCCACCCATTATACATTAGCTAGTGGGATTATACATTTATATGCGTGTTTATGTAATTAAAAACTCCCCTTCTTGATGGGTCACTGAATTGGTTTCTGTGCTTTGAGCAGCCTATATTCTCATGCTATCTGCACCCAAAAAGAGAAAGTACTAAGGATAAGAGTTTGGATTTTTCCGTTTTAGTCCAGATAAACTTCAAACTGGAAATAGAGAAAGATGGGCACTAATGCAATTCGCAGTGCAGTGCTGCCAGTGCATTCCTGTATTCTTAATACAGAAAAGGGATTGAGTTGGCATGTGGGCTGGAGGAGAATAGTCTTATTAATACTTCTGCCCTTTGTATGTGACACATGCTTTTATATGGTTTCCCTTCTTTAACTTTTATATTCATCTATTATTTCTAAATTCAACAGAATTTTCTGGGAATCAACCATGTTTCAGGGGCATACTGATACAAGTGAGCCTTGGTATGGAACTGCTTATTCTTTGGAGAAAATCGATGGTTCACTGATTCAGGTTTGTTTCAAGTTGTCTACCATATAAGTGATTTTGAATTGTCTCTGTGGTCTAGGTGTTTAGAGTTTAGACCAACATCAATCAATAATCCTTAATTAAGACATTGACATTTTTTTTTTCAGAAATGGATGGATGAAGCCCCTGTTGAAGATCTGCATCTTCCAGCCCCCAATGTCTTCATTCCAACTGATCTATCTCTGAAGCATGTCTTAGAGAAAGTGCGAAAAACTCTACATAATTTAGTGTGTTTTTAATTGTTCTAAAAAAAAAATTCTAATGTATTGACCTCCACAACAGACAAAACTTCCAAGTTTATTGAGAAAGTCACCATATTCAAGGTTGTGGTATAAGCCAGATGCAACATTTTCTTCTCCAAAGGCATATGTTAAAATAGACTTCAATTGTCCTTATAGTGGAGCTTCTCCTGAGTCAGAACTTCTTACAGATGTTTTTACCCGTTTGTTGATGGCATACTTGAATGAATATGGTATGCATTCCAGTATTGTTGACACTTATTATACTCATGCTCAGTCCTAGAGTTTCTGCAACTAAATTTTGAAAAGAAATTTATGTGTTTCAATCTTTCAGCATACCATGCACAGGTTGCTGGTCTGTATTACACTTAATTTTTTTTTTTTTTTTTCGCATCTTTCTATGTCTCTTTCACTCCTTTAATAACATGTAAATAATTATTTTTTATTCATTATGACGTCACTATATACATCAGCTCATGATCCCGGATCCCCTTTTAAATACGGAGTATTAACTTTACAAGTTTAACATTTATTTTCTGAGTTGTTCCACGTAGAAAAAATAAAATAAAATAAAAAGAAGAAATACAGGAAAATAAATATATTTTAATTAGGAATGCTTGACTCCATAAACACAAGTCATAAACTAAAATATCTCTTGGGTTTCGCGTCAAACAAAGGCAGCAGAGTATAATTGTTTAGTCATGTCACATAGTCTAATTGAATTCGAAAAAAATAAAAGAATTATATATATATATATATATATATATATATATATATATATATATATATATATGTATATATATATATATATATATATATATATATATATATTTTTTTTTTTTTTGTGGTAATGAGATTTGATTGAGATTTATAAATGTAAAATATCAATATAATTAGGAAAAATAATATTTTTAGCTCATAATTTATTTTAAAAAATAGTATATTTTGTCCATCTTTTTATCTTTCAATTCTTTGTGAGGTACAAACTGTTTTCATCTTTGAGTCCAATTAGAATTGGGTTAAAAATAATTCGTAGCTCCGAAATGGGATAACTCATGTATCAAAATGACACAAATTGGATTATTTTCATTTATCAATACCTTTTTAGTCGAGTCTATCACACATAATATTCCTAGTGTGATTCACCTTCGTAGGTAATTATACAAAAGTTGGACCCAAGTTTGCTATATTACATAAGATCAAAGTTTATCCAAAAACAAAGTTAAGTATCATTAACCGAACCAGATACAAAATGAAATGAATCAAATATTTTCTTATAATTTAGGAATAAGTTATACTATATGTACTCACAATTTTCCTCATTTTTACTCTTTGATGTGGCAAACACTGATTTTCATGTGAATTTCAATAAAAGTGCTCACGTCAAGATTCTGAATGTATAAGTAAATATTGAGAATAGATAATGAAAGTCTAGTTGGTATTTTACTTGAAGGGTGTGTTTGAAAATCCATAAAGTGTTTGGTAAGTGACGAAAAATCGGAGTTAACTGAAATTTGAAAATAAGCTCTTGGTCAAAGGAAAATGCATCCCTTTTCTTGGAAGATGACTTACTTTTTTTTTCTTGTTTTTTGGAAGTCATTTTCCATTATTCTTCGGTTCAAGCTCTCCCTTCCCGTTGACGCTTCACACCTCCACCAACAAACCAATGATCATCATTTTGTTCTTCATCTTCTTGGACGAAAACCCATAGTTGGAGATTTCTCCTCATTGGTATTTGCACGGATGCGGAAACTAGAGAGGTTTCCGTCAGAGAATTATGCTTTTAATTAGAGCTGGTTTATGCACTGAATTAATTAGAGCAGATATTACAGAGACGATTGGATTTTACTTTTGAAAATCCACTCATTAAAATGTTAAAGTATACAATTCTACTTATTTTTCTATTCATTTACGAAAAAAGAACCAAACACTAAAAGATAATTTTTTATTGTGCACCAAACATTGGAAAGAAAAATGTTTTAGGAAAATAACTCATTTTTTTAAAAAAAAAAAATTTCAAAAATCATTTTCTTATTTTCTAAACTAGCCGTGAGAATGGAATAAGAGAGATCCTTTTATCCAAATTTATTTTATAAAACATATACTTGTCAGTGCAATGTGGACATAGCTTCACTACTAATGTAGGCTATGGAGCTTGTTCGCGATCATGACGGTCGTTTTGTGGCAGCGAAGTGTGACCGGCTTGAGTGCAATCTAGACTCGTTTTTGGCAGAGGTTTTAGCAGCCAATGAAGCCTTAACATGGCTCAATGGATTAAGGCAGAATAATATCATTATAGAGTCCGATTGCTTAAATTTCTGTAATGCTTTCAATTCCTGTTTGGTAGATTATTCTTATGTTGGCATGCTTGTGAAGCAATGTTTGTCGATTACTTGTGACATAGGGAACGTTAAAGTTCACCATGTCAAGAGATCAGCGAATCGTGTGGTTCATGTCCTAGCTCGAGCAACTGGTTCTTCGTTTGCCTCTGAATTGTGAGCTGTTATCCCACATACTTGTATTTCGAGTTTGTTAAGCTATTAATGAAATCTTCTTTCTCGTTCAAAAAAAAAAAAAGAAGAAAAATATACTTGTTGTGTAGCGTCACTACAGAAACCCGTATTTGACTTGTCCGACCGTCCGACGTGGAACTCCGCGGGCAAAGCCAATCAAATGAATTTATTTTTATTTAAAAAAAATTTCGTGCGTCGACTTGTGAAGAAACTGATGTGACTTTTACTTCCCAAATTTGTTCCAAATTCCAAATTCCAAATTCCAAATTCTGAATCATTCTTCACTCAATCTTTTCCCCATTTCTGAACAAGGTAAGCTCCTGCTACTACTTTTTGCTCTCTGCACAGACTCATGTATATAATATTTGTTGCTATATTGACATATTGTTGTTTGGAAGGTGAGAAAGATGGCGTTGGGGAGCATGGGAGAGCCGGTTGAGATAGTGAAATCTCGTTCTGACAAGAGGGAGTACAGAAGAATTGTGCTCGACAACTCTCTTGAAGTTCTCCTCATTAGCGATCCTGAAACTGATAAGGTTTCCGCTGCACTTTATATCCTGTCTGAATGTGTTTCATTGCAGCAAATTCTTCCCTGCAAAAAAAAAAAAAAAACTGTAATCTTAAAATTTTGAAGTTCCTATCGTTCTGAAATGCACATATGTATGGTATAAACTGCTGTAGTAATTATTTATTTATTTATTTTCATTTTTGAGCTGAATCAGTGTGCTGCTTCAATGGATGTGTCTGTGGGGAGTTTTAGTGACCCCAAGGATCTTGAAGGCCTTGCTCATTTTCTTGGTGAGTATTGTTTTATTTTCTTAATTTCCTTGGTGATGAAGAAACTTCTGGTTGCCTTTGAGTATGAAGGATGAAGAAATGTGAATCTTCCTCAAGTTCACCCTAGCACAGTGTGTAATAAAGAGAGGGGAACTATTTGTTGAGTGAAGCTTTGCACATTCTAAATAATGAAAAATGAAATATGTGTGATTGTAGAACATATGCTCTTTTTTGCAAGCGAGAAGTATCCCTTGGAGAATAGTTACTCGAACTTCATTTCAGAGGTATTTGCCTTTAGTTCTTGGTAATGATGGTTTATTCTTTTCAAGTTGACTTCTGATAATTATGTCATTTTCTGTTCTTTGTTTAGGGTGTATAACTGCATATGTGTTCTCTAAACCTAATTATTTTATGTCCTTTCCGTTTCTCGGCTATTACATACTGTTTTTCTTCACCCACCTACATCGTGCCTTCTTACTTCTACTAATTGGTATATTTTGAGTTTTAAAAATTTCTTGTCAAAATGATGTGTCTCCGTATTAACTCTAGTGCTTTTTTATTTTTATTTTTAATTGCCATGTGGAGGGCTATTTCCTTCTCTACCTTCTGATTTTTTTCTTTCGTTTATATCTTGTGCTTCAGCATGGAGGTTCAACAAATGCTTTTACATCTTCTGAGCACACCAACTTTTACTTTGATGTTAACATTGATGGTTTTGAAGAGGCTTTAGATAGGTAATAAGATTTTAAGGCTATTCTAGGTTCTCATATTTTCTTGCAAAGTTTCCTAATTATCTTAGTTTTGGCTGTCTAGATTTGCACAGTTTTTCATCAAACCATTGATGTCGGCAGATGCTACCACAAGGGAAATAAAAGCTGTTGATTCGGGTTAGCAGATTATTACTTTTTGATGGCTTCTAATCTAGTAAAATTTTATAATTGCTGATTGTTACCTGTCTCTCTTTATTTGCTCCCTGGGGGAACTAACTTACTTATACAGAAAATCAAAACAACTTAATATCTGATGGTCGCAGAATCTATCAGGTATTTTTATCTGGACTTACCACATGCTTTAATCTTTTTAAAATTTAAAATCTCACAGTAGTTTCTAACTTATTAAAAGAGATTGGAGGTACCTAAGAATATTGTATCCACTTTCAAGTGAAGGATACCTCAAGGTTGATCTTATGCTTTTAAAAAAACCTCGTTCTATACTCTTGCTTGAGGATTGATGTTTAGTTGTTTGGGTGATTTCTTTCTTTCAAAAATAGGAAAAATAAATACCATAAACAAAAAGCTACTTCACCTCATATATTACTTTTTATGCAGCTTGAGAAACATTTGAGTTCAAAAGACCATCCATACCACAAGTTTGGGACAGGTTTGTTTTGGCATGCAATTTAAGCAATTTATTCTGTATCAGTGTAACAGCCTTATTATTTCGTGTTTTGCAATTTCTATCTGTTAAAATTATAATCATTCAACTCTTGTTAGGGAGTTGGGATACTTTGGAAGTGCGGCCAAAGGAAAGAGGGATAGATACAAGAGAGGAGCTTCTTAAATTCTACAAAGAAAATTATTCAGCCAACTTGATGCATCTGGTTGTTTATGCAAAAGGTAATTGGGTCGTGCTTTCATTTTTAAATATCTAGTTGCCTGTTGCCTAAACATCAATCATATTGTTCTTTTGTTGTGGATATCTCAGATAGCCTTGATAAAATCCAAAGCCTGGTACAGGATGTATTCCAGAAAATCGAAAATACTAATAAAAGATACACTTACGTTCCTGGTGAGCCTTGCACAGCAGAGCACCTACAGGTACTCAAATTGTAACAAGAAGTGGGGATTTATTTTTGTGCTGTGTTTTATAAGATATATTTTCTTTTATCATTGTTTCTTTTCTTTTTCCTCTCCCTTTTTGTGTTTTCACATTGCATGTTTTGAATCTTAAAAATTTTCATTGCATTTTTTACTTTACTTTCCACCTCTATATTTTGTTTTTGTTTTTTTTGTTTTCCTCACTCAGATTCTTGTGAAAGCAGTCCCAATAAAACAAGGTCACAAGTTAAGTATTATCTGGCCA